GGAACGTTGGAAGCACTGTCTGACGCGTCTGTCTCCGCGACCCGGAAGGAGAAGCGGCGATGGAAGATGATGATGATGATGATGATATTCGAATGAGGTCAAACTGAACAAAATCTCACCCAAGATCTGGACTGCATTCGAAATAGACATGGCGCGAAGGCCGGTGTCGTCGCCAAAGATCCTTGTTTCGTGTCGGCAGGATGGGCAAATAAACGACGCCATGTTTTCAACGACACCAATTATTGGGACGTGAACCTGGGCGAACATCTTTATTGCCTTTTGGGCGTCAATCAGAGCGACATCCTGCGGCGTGGTAACGACGACTGCCCCTAAACAATAAGCCTGCATGTGTCCCAAGGCTGAACGCCGTAAGAGTTGACAACGTTATCCTGTCAAGCATACAGTGACGGGAAATTAGTCTTCAGATATTAGATTCAGATTTTAACAGCAACAACAAATTATTACCGAGGATATTTTTTGCCTCAGAACACGTGCGTGCGGTTTTGCAAGTCAATAAATAATCGAAAATGGCAATAGGCATAGAACAAAATAGCGGATGAGTATGGACGTCACTGTGGCAATGTGGTTGGCAGTCATTTGCCGTCCGCTGTCATCTAAGGTTTTAAGCACAGAAACGACGACAGGTACAAAAGGACCGTTGTTGACACCGCTTCGACTAACAGGATGCTAGTCAAGAAATGGACAAAACATATCACAAAAAATTTCCCTACCACTGTGGGGTAGAAATTTATTATAAACCTATCAGCGTGTTAGGGCATAACGCAGGTGAGCGATAAACCGATTTTATGAAATGGTGTTCAATTTACATACAGCTGTTGTTGAAACAAGAATGAAATCAGGTATCGATCAGTTGCCTCCTTGAGTAACAGTTAATGGTCCTCGCTTCTCGATCCATGGTTCAAGGCAAAAACTGCAAAGGAAGAAGGAAAATTCTTCGTTATAGCAAGCAAATAAAACAGCACAATATTATGAAATGAGTTACGTAAAAAGTCTGAGTAACAATAACATCTGTTCCAATAACTCATTCCGGAAAGCAGCGGATGACATTCCAGCTGTCACTCACACAACACGGGCTCATCGTAAGTTATGCAGTCGGCTTTGTTAGCCAACAGGTGAAATGATTCTTCAACTAATAACCCAATGTGTTTTCTCACTATGAACAGAAGTGACATTCGTCGAACCAAAGGAGTGTTCAAAGTAAAAAGCTTGCTCAGATATCTCCTCCCTCAGTGCTGCCAGATGGTCTGTGAAAAGTTTTGTCCAATCCTTGCAATGCTTTCTTGCTGTTCAAGCAGGAAACGAATCGGCACCTTCCACAGTACTTATGTGAACGTTCATTTGGCTCAAACAAGAAATTCAAAAAAAATCACATTACCAAGAATTTGTTTAAAAGAACAATAAAGTTAGTCACTTAAAACTTTACACTGCTCTTTTCATAATGCCGAGCAGTTTCACTAATATCACATTACTTTGGTGAAGACACTGGTATGGGGCATCGAAACGCGTAGGTAAATATAGGATTTTTCGTCGTGCTTTACAACGTTGTCTTGAACCATGGATCGAGAAACGAAGAACATTAGTTGCAGTTAATCCGCATACATTTACTGTTGAAATGGTCGGTTAGGTTAGGCGAATTTCGTGTGCTAATCATGCAAATTTAAACTAATCACGTAATGTTTTAAGTCGTTCTGTATGCACACATCCCTCTATTCGAACAACTGAATGAAACATACGATAAGTCAATCAAAACGGAAACCATTTATGATAATTTCGAAACCTAACTTCGATTCTTCACCTACCGTTTGAATGATTGGCGTCTTACTCAAACTAAGTACTACGTATCATCTAATTTAAAAAGAACCGATTCGAAGGCCATGGGCAAAACCAGACGATCGATGTTAAAGTATACGATTTACCGTCATAGTTACGGCAAAATAAAATTTACGCCATGTTTAAGACAAACACTGGTTATTAGCCAATGTTATTTAACCTAAACTTAAGCGGTAAAAATAGGCAGCTATAACATCCTGGTCATACCCATAACCATTTAATCCCACGGGATCCCTACTCACTGCGTACGATACTCTGGATTTACACACAAAAGGCTAATTTAGACACCGCTGATCACTATAGCAAGTACATGTTGCTCGGTATCGAACTGGCGTAACCACGCAATGCTGGTGATTTTAGCTGCCTAGGAGACACTTTAAGCTAATCATAGCTCTACTGTATTACAAGATTTGTAGTGCATGGACGCAGAACCGCTTCACCGTGTCACGACATCTGCACATTACCAGTGGAATGAAAAAAATGCAGACTTTGCAATTAAATACAAAATATCACGGAAGTTTCTGTTTGTAAATAAGCCTACAGATCAGGGTACATCAGTCTGAACATGCTTTTGTTCGCCTCAACACGATCATGCAACTTCGCATCGATGTAACCCAAGTACTGTAATATGGTCCACTTAATGGGTTCCATAGGCCACCGAAAGCAAGAGACGGTAGAGTTATGATGAACCAGGGAGAAACAGTGCTTGTAAATGGGGTCAATAATTCAATTCTTTGTGTTACAGTAAGTCAAAATAAAATTTGGAAAAAGCAATGAAAAGTTGTTTTAGGCACATCTGGGATCAACACAAGCTTTTGACTTAACGCAAAAACGTTGATCGAAATTTAACTTACCGTCGATAGGCACGTTCTGCACCAAAGAAAGCTGAGTATCTCCTGTACCAGGAGGCAAATCGATGAACAAGTAATCCAATGGGCCCCACGCTACCTGAAACAGACAGGTCATGACATAATTATGGCATTAACCTCAGTATACAAATTTCGTTTATATATCAAATCCTCACTTGAAACGTGGCCATGCCCAAGACTCAATAGGCAACAACTGAGTATCAAACAGTAACCGGGATAATGTACAAACCGTAATTCCCATAGGATGTTTGAGGTTTCTAACCAGTTTTGTTTGGACGGCAAAACACCAGACCTGAAACCGAAAAATCGCAAGCTCGAATTCCCGTCAGGTAAACTGCCTTTTACAGTACCACTTCACGGGCAAACAAGAGACTAACAAGAGACTACATGCCATAGTGATCGCCAAACTGCAGAGCCTCAAGGAAAAGAACAATAGGACACTCCTCGCTAATGCAC